GTATTAGTCTCTCATATCCCACTGTATTAGTCTCTCATATCCCACTGTATTAGTCTCTCATATCCCATTGCATTAGTCTCTCATATCCCACTGCGTTAGTCTCTCATATCACTGATATTTTACTTTTGTTTTGCTATTTGAATGTATCTCTTAATTTTATTAATGTCTATCTTGATTTAATATTTGCATAGAAATGCATTTGTTGTAAGAAATGTGCGACATAAATAAATAAAGGTTGATTCTGTTTGATATCACAATTAATAATTGACTGAATGATGTGCAACTATTTAACATAAATGGAAATAAAGCTTTAAATGAAATTTAATAAACTCAGGCTTCCTCAATGATGATCTCTCAATTCCAATTGCAATAGTAATAGTTGCCTACAAAACAAACTGACTACATGCTGCAGATTTGAAGAAAAGTAATTCTCCACGTTATTGACTTGAACTTTCCTTTCTCTCCTCCTCGACCACTTCTCCTTAAAATGACTTGACCAGTAAGGTACTGACACAGACCAACAGACGCACACACGAATGACTTGACCAGTAAGGTACTGACACAGACCAACAGACGCACACACGAATGACTTGACCAGTAAGGTACTGACACAGACCAACAGACGCACACACGAATGACTTGACCAGTAAGGTACTGACACAGACCAACAGACGCACACACGTACACCCCTGTACCCAGGTGACCTAAAATGACACCCTCCTGAAGGAGAGAAGAGGGAAGTGGCATTTTGATGGAACACGGAAAAAGCTCCTCCATCCCCCCTCCCTCCATCCCCCCTCCGTATCTCAGTTTCTCCGTCTTGCCCTTCTCCCTCCCTCTATCCACCCCCCCTCCATCCCTCCACCCCCCCACCCCCCCACCCTCCATCCCCCATCACTCCCTCCATCCCCCCTCCATCCCTCATCCCCCCTTCCTCTCTCCATCCCCCCTCCATCCCTGCATCCCCACTCCCTCCCTCCATCCCCCCTACCTCCCTCCAGCCCCCCCCTACCTCCCTCCATCCCCCCTCCCTCCCTCCCTCCATCACCCCTCCCTCCCTCCATCCCCCTCCGTCACTCCATCCCCCCTCCCTCCATCCCCCCTCCCTCCGTCCCTCCATTCCCCCTCCTTTCCCCCACCCTCCCTCCATCCCCCCTCCCTCCCTCCATCCTGCCCTTCTCCATCCTTCCATCCTGCCCCCACTTTGATTTTCAGATAAATTAGCTTCATTAATGCAGAGGAGCAGACTTTCCACTACGACTTCTTCTACCCCTCCCATACCTGGGTTCAAATACTATTTGAGGTCATTTCATTTACTGTAGCTGTGTTTGATTGAGTTTTCTGTTGCAATCCACACAGAACAGCTCCAATAGTGAAACAAACGCCGCCCACCTGACACTCCAGGCATGCTGAAACAAACCCCGCCCACCTGACACTCCAGGCATGCTGAAACAAACCCCGCCCACCTGACACTCCAGGCATGCTGAAACAAACCCCGCCCACCTGACACTCCAGGCATGCTGAAACAAACCCCGCCCACCTGACACTCCAGGCATGGTAAAACAAACACTCAGTGTTTGAAAGATTTCAAATAGAAGCTTTGCTCCCTCCATAGCACCAGGCCCAGGCCCGACCCAGGCCCGACCCAGACCAGACCCAGACCCAGGCCAGACCCAGACCAGACCCAGACCCAGACCCAGGCCAGACCCAGACCAGACCCAGGCCCGAACCAGACCCAGGCCCGACCCAGACCAGACCCAGACCCAGGCCAGACCCAGACCAGACCCAGGCCGAACCAGACCCAGGCCCGACCCAGACCAGACCCAGACCCGACACAGACCAGACCCAGATCCAGATCCAGACCCGACCCAGACCAGACCCAGACCCAGGCCCGAACCAGACCCAGACCCAGATCAGACAGACCTGACCCAGACCCAGATCAGACCTGACCCAGACCAGACCCAGATCAGACCCAGACCAGACCCAGATCAGACCCTGACCTGTTGTTATTGTTGCCAATCTAAAGGTCCTGTCTGTTTCGTATCACGTTATCGAAACTGCTAGATAAATTATTCAAGGCCGTCGCTCCCTGCAGTTTCTTGGCTCACATTGGAGAATAATTCCATTGCAATATAATCATGGATCCTCCCCAAACATCCAGGAGACCAGAGGTATCCACTGCATTGTAACAAAAGGATGAGGCTTGTTTTTTTTTGTTTTTTTCTTTGCATTGTGCGTTCGTTCCAGTTGAGTGATGAATATGTACTCTGTATATTTTTTGTTGTTGACATGACCTCTACTCAGCCAGAAACAGTCAATGACAAAAAAAAGTCCAGGAATTCCTTTTGATTAAATGTTTTTAAATGCCATTTTGTAACACTGTAGCTCAGCTGGTAGAGCACGGCGCTTGTAACGCCAAGGTAGTGGGTTCGATCCCCGGGACCACCCATACACAAAAAAATGTATGCACGCATGACTGTTAGTCGCTTTGGATAAAAGCGTCTGCTAAATGGAATATTATTATTATTATTATTATTATTAATGGCAGCTAAAAACAGCCATCCAGGTGCTGTGTGTGTGTGTGTGTGTGTGTGTGTGTGTGTGTGTGTGTGTGTGTGTGTGTGTGTGTGTGTGTAGAAGATCTGTTGGTGCCTCCAGTTGGTGGAGGAGAAGGTGCCAACATTCATCAGGATCATATCATTGTGCCAGCGGGGTCATATGAACAGTGTGGGGGCTGTGGCGCGGTGCCAGGATGTTGGCAGAACCTTTATGCCATAGTGTTTGGAGTTTAGCGTTAGTGTAGTGTTTCTCTACTCCAGTCCTGGGGAAATGCACGACCGCACAGTTTTTCTCCCAGCTCCAAAACACCACATTCAACTAATCAACACTTTTAGACTTTGTGTGGTCCTCTGTAGCTCAGCTGGTAGAGCACGTCGCTTGTAACGCCAGGGTAGTGGGTTCGATCCCCGGGACCACCCATACACAAAAAAAATTATGCACGCATGACTGTAAGTCGCTTTGGATAAAAGCGTCTGCTAAATGGCATATTGTTATTATTATTATTATCTAATGTAATTCATATCTATGAAGGGTATTGTTTATAACTTTTATAAGTCATTTGTAGTCACTGAAACGTGATGCAGTCTTAACTGTAATAACAATGGCATAACTAATAACAGTGTCATAACTGTAATAACAATGTAATAACTGTAATAACAATGTCATAACTGTAATAACAGTGTCATAACTATAACAGCAGTGTAATAACTGTAATAACAATGTCATAACTGAAACCAAACTACTATAGTAAGACGATGCGGTCCATCCAATAACATTAACGCATCCAAATTCACATGTCACCTTAATGTATCAGGTTATTTCTAAAGGTTATAACGCCCCCTTAGTTAATCAGCTCTCCTGTCCACCTTTCCCCCCCCCCCCCCCCCCTTTTTCCCTCCTTGTCCCCCTTCTCTCCATCCCTCTTCTATCCTTCCTTAACCTCTAGTATTTTCCTCTTAATGTTGATATATTATAATGCGATGCTATTATCCACCCTCTCATCCCCACTCTAGCAGGACCTCTCCTTGTCCCCCACCATCTCAGGGCCAGGACCCCTCTCCTTGTCCCCCACCATCTCAGGGCCAGGACCCCTCTCCTTGTTCCCAACCATCTCAGGGCCAGGACCCCTCTCCTTGTCCCCCACCATCTCAGGGCCAGGACCCCTCTCCTTGTTCCCAACCATCTCAGGGCCAGGACCCCTCTCCTTGTCCCCCACCATCTCAGGGCCAGGACCCCTCTCCTTGTCCCCCACCATCTCAGGGCCAGGACCCCTCTCCTTGTTCCCAACATCTCAGGGCCAGGACCCCTCTCCTTGTCCCCAACCATCTCAGGGCCAGGATCCCACTCCTTGTTCCCAACCATCTCAGGGCCAGGACCCCTCTCCTTGTTCCCAACCATCTCAGGGCCAGGACCCCTCTCCTTGTCCCCCACCATCTCAGGGCCAGGATCCCTCTCCTTATTACCATTCCATTAGGAGGAAGGGCCTCTCCTCTTTCACTCTCCCCCTCGCTTTCCTTATCTCCCACGCTCCCTCCTCTCTCTCTCTCTCTCTCTCCCTCTCGCTCTCCTCCTCTCTTCTCTCTCTCTCTCTCTCTCTCTCTCCCCCCCCCCCCCCCCCCCCACCCCCCCCCCCCCCCCCTCTCTCTCTCTCTCTCTCTCTCTCTCTCTCTCTCTCCCTCTCAGAGAGGAGAGGAGGACAACTCAGAGAGAAGAGAGAGAGGAGAGGAGGACTGGTGTGGGCTCTGTCCCTGACTCAAGAGGTTTTTAATTGTGTAACTATTCTAGTCCCTACAAAAGGAAATATTTTCCATTTGAGGAATCCGTAGTAAACATATTTACTTATGGCAAAGCCTGAACAAGTTGAGATAGAAATATGCTGACTACATATTGTATGTATAAAATACTGTATGTAAGTAGTGGTGTACATTTTACATAATCTTTTTTCCATACAAATCATCTACTGATATGTTTTCCTAAATTAGGACTTCCTTTACTCAGTAACAGTCACGAACGCTGCAGGACTTCCTTTACTCAGTAACAGTCACGAACGCTGCAGGACTTCCTTTACTCAGTAACAGTCACGAACGCTGCAGGACTTCCTTTACTCAGTAACAGTCACGAACGCTGCAGGACTTCCTCTACTCAGTAACAGTCACGAACGCTGCAGGACTTCCTTTACTCAGTAACAGTCACGAAACGCTGCAGGACTTCCTTTA